GTGACGGGGGTGGAAGGAGGTCGTGAGGGCTGCTGTGAAACCTAGTAAGTGTAGTGAGTGTTGGTATAATATCCTTAAAGTAAAGACATAGTGTAGGATCACCTAGCCTATAGCGAAGTGCATAAAATTTATCATGAATGAAATATATCGATAGAATTTTAAATTTAAATCGTTTCTGAGTTCAGCTATTTTCTGTTATATCACCAATGGTTTTAATAAAAGACAAACCTCTTTAATCAACGGACACTAAGTTAAGAAATCAACAAATATTTTTCCAGTTTTGTTGTCTGTAAATTTCATTTCATACTTTCAGTACATAGACTACCAACAATATTAGCTTATACTTTGTTGCTGAACAACATGACATAAAAGCCAGTGTTGGAATATAGTGTTACCAAAATGCACTGGCTTTTTTGTATATTAGTAGTTGTTAATCTAACTGATTTTTACCAATAATTATTTTATGAATACGTCACGAATTCATTTCATGAATGATCTTAATTTTGATTGGCTCACAAAGGAATTTACCGACATTTGATTGCCTCGACTGCACTTTTCTGCCTCTTTGTTGGTTAAATTTGATTTGCCAAATTTTATTTATTTCAGTTAGATATGAAATGTGAGGTTAGGGCATACTATGGGGTGGGGGTGATAGTACTTGCTCCGTCATTTTTAACGGGCTATACGTTAGTATAAATACTGCCTGTTAAAACATGTATCTACATACTGCTGTTCAGAACGGTGAGTGACGTATAAATGTTGCTGGTTAAAACAGTGTGTTGTCTTAGACACAACACACTGTTCTAACTAGGAGAAGTTAACAGTAACTTAGACCTAACTAGGAGAAGTTAACAGTAAAACAGTGTGTTGTGTCTAAATAGTACTGGTTAGAACAGTACAGTGCGTCACGTTTACATACAACTCCATTTCATAATGTCAGTTAATACACATCAAAATAAAATATTTAACTGGAGTTAAGGTAACTTGATTGTAAGAAGAATTAAGTGAAACAAATTGTTTTGTTGCACAAACTCAAGAAACCTTAAAAATAAGAATCCTGTAAACGATACGTAAAATTTCTTTCTTAAGTTGGATTCATAAACCTTAGCTTCCACAAAGTCAGAGCTAACTCTAAGGATGAACTTACGTATAGTGCCTGCTCCAAGATCAGATGTAAAAAAAAAAGAGATAAATTAAAGAGAGTTTGAATATATAAATTATAGCTAGCACGTGTTCTTACAAAACAAAATTACAAGCGTAATTACTAGAAATAAACTTTTCTCTGTCAGACAAATCGCTTGATACCAAGTTTGATCCAATTCGAGTTTTTAAAGTAATTTTATTAGCACATGCAGAGGATGAAACTTTATGCTGTTGCGTGTTCTGCATCATCAAATCACTTGGAATAATTACATCCTATGATATCCCATTGTAGATAAATAGACATTCACAAATGATGTCTTTAAATATATCTATCAGTTAAGATATTGATTACATAGATTTAAAATATTTCATAGTTTTTTTTAATAATTAACTCTAAGTCCACTATAAAATTAAACCCCTTGTTTAGTAAAAATAATCTCAGAAGAAATTTTCTGAAGATGTCAAGCGTAGTTGCATTAATCATTCTTGCCTTACACGAAACTCCTTTTCAATATGGCTTCAGATGAAAGAAGTTTCTTTTTCACTGATCAAAGTTAGTTTACACTTTGGTGGTTTAAGATATACACATAGTCACAGATAACCAGACTGGCAAAACTCCCTGATCAGTTGCCATTATCAGACGTAGCCGAAAGATGGTCTCCCAGTACAATAACTATAAAACTTGGCTCAGTGTGATATTACGTATAAATGGGCACCATATTCTAAAACAAAATACCTCTAAGACTTTATTGCATAGTAAAAGAACTGAGATGGTATCATTTTAATATACAGTGTAGAATAAACATAATTACTTTTAACCCAGCGCCCCCCCCCCTCCCCAGTGACAGAGTAGTATGTCTGCGGACTTATACTACTAAAAACTGGGTTTCGATACTCATGATGGGCAGAGCACAGATAGCCCTTTGTGTAGTTTATGCTTAATAACAAAAAACAACTTTAATCCAACACATAAAAAGTTCCCATTGTAATCAAATATCTGACAAACATCTAAAAATATAGAAAACACCACCGTCAAGTTAAATTACACACAAGAATTCCTGTAATAAGAAATAAATTCATATACAGATAAATAAATTAATTAATTTAGGTACTAAACAGCAAAAATACAGGTTGGATTCACCATGCTATAAAACCTGCTTTTTTACATGGAAATAGACTGTAAAAAACGTGTTTTTAATATTTCTAGTGAGTCTGTGTAAAACATTTTAATAGATATAGAATCACCTAGTAAGCATTTTTTGATTGCTATAAATACAAGCGTTATGATCTTGGAACCTCATCACGTTCATATCACCACGTCAAGTCATACTTGACAACTGTGCATGTTGACAATAGCTCTGTAACATAGATTCTATTCCAAAATGATGTGTCGTTACGTTGACATATCCGAAGCACAGTACTCCTCCCAGAAGCTTTCTATAATCGTTTGTCAGCGATGACGACAGTTTCAGAAATCTGTTTGAACAGTCCAATTGCACAGAAATCCATTGGTACTGCATCTAGTAAATTGACTGTATGTATTTTTGTGGAATATCCTGAAAACCCATTTCATTCAACAGCTGCTTGAATTATGCAATGGTCGAATAGGTATATCGTGGAAGTAATTTTGTCACTTTTCCAGACGGAATTCCTTATTAATTACGTTTGGCACTATTTCCTGGAGCACCTGGACGACTTTTTCCACTGATCTTTATGTTAGTGGATTTACATTTGCAACAAGACATTCCACCTTGCTTACCATAGCTGGGTTACACCTTGATACAGGTCTCGTTCTGGATGGTCCTGGTACTCTAAGCTGATTCATATTTATTTGTTTTCAAAGGCCATTAATAAACCATAGATCTGAATATAGAAATAAGTTTTCTTGGAAATGACTAGTACACACCCTTTCAAAATGTTCCACCATGATTTTATATCCACTGTGATTTGAAGTTTCAAAATAAGTTTAAAATAGCGTACTCAATCCCATTTAGTGTATTGCGTTTATATCTAAAGATAGTGTCTAAAGAACAGTTTGATATATAGAAATTATATCTAAAACATTTTGATATATACAAGTGATTATAAAATGAGTATTGTACATCAGAGTGCTAAAGCACATTAAGGTGTGGGATGATAATAAGCTACTATTGCATAGATATGACATGTGACACAAGAAGAGTCAACCATTATAAAATTAATTTGAAGCTATGTAAATGTTCAGTATGTACAAAGGCGACATGCACAATGAATTGCATACATGTAACCATGGTCAGTATCATTGCTACCCTCAATTCATCCCATATAAAAACAGCCTCTCTTATGAAAACATTTTTAAAGACAGGATTGGTGTGTGGATTATTTAAATAGACACTTATTGCTAGTTTACTCCATAGCCAGAAAGCATACAGTGTTAAGTTTAGGAAAAATGGTGGCCAAGCCCATGGAAATAGTAGGATATGAATGTGTCTTCATTATAGGGAATGTGTACTTACATTATAATTTGATAATTGGCGTTTAAAGGGACACCATCTTGCCTAAACATCACAGCATCAAGCACCTCTCATTGTAGCAGCTGGAGTATCACTGTTTGAGCAAGAGTGGCACCATTGACTCTTCATTGTGCAAGTCCTGATAGAAGTGCAGACCGAGGAGAAAGCCTGTCATGAATTAAAAAATTCACACCAAATAGACACTGTTGTATCGTGTAGGGTTTTCTGAAGTGTCAAATTTCAATTCTCATCACAAAAGATCATGCAGCTGCAGCTGTGTGTCATGTTGGTTCAACTCAATGTGGTTCTATTGGTATACACTATTTTTAGAAGACAGTTTTGCAGAATTGCAATGCAGAGTCAAAATGTCATTGAGGATTTTCCATTTCTGGTAAAGTTTGTAAACGGACCCCCCCCCCCCACACACACACACAGTGCCATATGAATAGCCTTTCACTGGTACATAGATAGCAAGGCACTGTATAGCCACACTGCAGGTCGCATGGACAGTTGTTTTCACATTTTCTATTGATGCATGAGCAACTTTGTTGATTATTTTTATAGGGATTATGAATCTTCCAAAAAGGGCATCTCTCATGTTTTAAATATGTGGAATATTAACATTGTTTAACATATTGTAATACCTATTAAAATATTATGTTTTTCTTAAAAACAGTATACTGAATGAACGTTATAGTATGACCCAAAATATATATTAATGTATTTCTTAGTTGATTTGCATGTTCATTGACACCATACATCTGAGTAGCTCCACGGGTGCACATTCTTCTCGTTAATGTTATACAGTCGAAGGTACTTCCAGTGAGCTAGCTATCTCTGAACTGTAGTCATGTGCCTAGTAAAACTTCTTATTCTATCCTCTGTCCTTCCTGTCAACTTCACGACGCACATGGTTTCTACAGTGAATTCGTAAGAGTTGAGCACTATATAAATTATTGTATAGGAGTGACCCCTGTGGCAAAATTACTGTAATTGATTTACCACGTGTCATCTAGTATTCCTATGTGATGGCACCATACTAAATCTAAAAGCTAGAAAACACTACTTTATATCTAGAGAGTGCATCGAAAACATTAGTTTTACCTCTAGATGGTGTATCTGTAAAACATGAGCTATAGTGTTTATTTAGAAAGTATGGTTAACATATATGTAAACTATATATAAATCAAGAAACATTAACACATGTAGGAGTTGAATTTCCATCTTGAAAGTAATTATCAACATATTCGTTTTACGTCTATAAAACATGTCATTTACATCTAGAGAATAATTCTAACGTGGATTTTATTTGTGAAACGTTTGTATGATAAAAGTTAACAAGTATTTTATCACTATTTCTACAAGGTCGGCTAATTACGTGCAAAATTGAAGGGGAAGAAATCAGGATTCCTTTCATTGCCAAAGAACAGTGTATATCCTGTCGTTGTCAGGTGCGTATACCTTTCATTGTTACGTGTGTATATCCCATTTTTAACAGATATGCATATCTTACTGAATTCAGATGTTAGTGCTATTTTATTTTATTCTATGAATGTAACAGAGTTGTCCATTTCAATGTCTGTTTGCCTGGTATATTGATGTCACAAGTTCTTGTGAGATACTGGCTTAACCAATGTTGATGAAATTCTTTAAAATATTTCAAATGGATTCCCCACCCCCTCTCATAAAAAACAAATCACGTTTCAATGGATAAACAATCAGATGAATGGTTCAGATGCTTTGACAATTTAAATTCTCCCCTTGATAATGCCTCAGTTTACTTCATGAATTGTGATTGCTAGTATTCAGTAGACTTGAATGGCAAACAACATAAATGTATGCCATCACACCACCCTCATGAAGCTAACGAAATACATGCATGCCTGGCACGTGTGTTTTTGCTATATATATATATTTATATATGTGTAAAGCAGAGTTATGATGAAGTGGCTAAACCAATTTTGAGTATATTTGAAAGAAGAGGCCAGGTAGGCCCCTTAAAGATTGAGTTTAAATGATTAAGTAATCAGTCAAACCGTTAGCGTTTGACAGCCATTTCAATCTCCACAACGTGAAGCCAATGTCAAACGAAAATGAAAGGTACTTTGGACAAACAGTTGTATGCAACAGCAGTAATAGTGGAAAGGAATGGCCTATGTTCCCATTTATAGCATTATTTGTTCAGCATTGATAGGTATATATATATATATATACCTGTATTTGTCATAATTTTCTAATTGCATTGCGCTGTCATTTCTAAACATACAGTTAATTAAGGTGTATATTCACATTTTTTCTCAGTGTTTTAATATGCTTTCACTGTGAGATTCGATAAAGCATTGTAGTCAAGTTATATTCTTGGTATTTTTAGGTACACTGATTTCCTACAGATGAGGGTAGTACCTGCTCTAACTAGAGGTTTGGCAAGATATGTATTACGGAGTTAAATTGATTGAATGGAAGAATGAGACTGGAAATAGGTTAGCAACAAAACCACTTTATTTATTCTACACACAGAAGACAAATAAATCAACTAGACTAAATTAAGCACAAGATGAAAGACACCACTTCTTTCTAATTGTTGAAAAATCTATCTCAAGCAGAAGTTTGGAAAAGGTCTCAAAGAAAATCTGAATAACACTGAGGAAACTGACCATACTTATCAAATTAGGTCAGTTCTTCCAGGTCACTCGATCATACCATTAGTAAAAATGTGTAGAATATAGTGTACAAGATTTCTCAAGTCTCAACATAACCAATATCAGTAGGGAACTCATTTGCACAAGTCTAGAAATTCTCAAGTGACACTTTTCGTGAGATAGTTCAGAAATATCAGAAGGGGAATGACTCTATACAGTGTATGAATGGTTCAAGAATAAGGTTACTACATTCCAAACCCAGTCATCTATGAATTATTTATACTACACCTGCAACAAACACATGATTGTGCAAACTTTTTACACTAAGAGGAAAAGAAATGTTTTGTGTGTTTCACATACCACATTTCTTTTTCGTTTTACTTTCAGGCTTATTTTGTGTGTTTCACATACCACATTTCATTTTCATTTGACTTTCAGGTTTTTCTAGTTGTCTCTAACTTAAAACCTCAAAAGCCAATGAAATATAAAAAATAACGAACTAGTTATGCATCTATATTTTTTTTCGTCCCAAACAAACACGCTTCACTACAAGACATACTCAAGAAACAGGCAAGCAAATGTATTTAATAATTATTTCAAAATATTTTTACACTATTGGAAACTATATATATATATATATATGTGTGTGTGTGTGTGTGTGTGCCATTTAACAATAATAATTTCACAATGATGATTACACAGACAAGACAAAATACAACTTTTAACATTGATAAAATATAAATAAAATCAATTGCTTTAATACTAATTAATCAATAATTTGTGATGTAAAAATATATCACAAAGAGCATCCTTTAACAATAATATCAATTGATATAGAGTTGCATTGGTGGGCTAATGGTAAAGTGGAAATCAAATGGAACACTTCTGATTATAATTATGACTAAATGTAATATTTTTAGTCTCAACAACTTGGAAGACATTAAGTTTTAAATTGGGAAACATTTGCAGAACAACTTTTAGTCATGCACAACGAGATTATAATACATACATAAGACAACATTTTGGTTTTATACCAATTAAACGTCCTTTAGACTGAGGATAAAATGTAATACAAATTTTGGTTTTCAGAATCACAAATCCCATACAAATAACCTCCAGTGACTCAGTAGTAAATCTGAAGGCCTATAATACTAAAACGGGATTTTGATACCCATGGTGGACAATTCACATAGCCCATTATGTAGCATTGTGCTTAACAACAAACCAAACAAACCACCCATATAAGTAAAATGCTTGTTGTTTTACAATACTTTTAAGGTAACTCACATTTGACGTCAGTATACCATAGTTAATCAGCTTCAGTTTTACGAAAATAATAATAAATATCATGCAGTTAAACATTTTAGTTTCACAAAGAAACGTTTGACTGAGGCATCACTGGAGCTAGGTGTCTTATTCAAGAAAATGGTCACCTCAAGGATTTCTTTAGCTTTTGCCTGGTCCAGCTTGGTCTTGGCTCTGTCACCTTGAGCTAGTTCTGATTACTCCAGGCCCATTGCTTACGTTATTTGTGCTGGCACAGAGCCCTGGCTTCTACCTTTTAGCTGCCTGATCCTGGAAGTAATGTTTAAGCTGAGTCATTAGTTGGAGCACGCAGTTGACTGGAACTGTCATTGGTGCTTTGTTGGAAGCTAATAAATTGGTGATAAGTTATAATGATAACTCCATCTTTAAAGCCAGTATCAGGATGATAAATTTAACACACTTGTTGATATTACACTCTTCCATAGCTTGAAGTTTTTTGAATTTCAAAAATCTTTACCAATTGTCTTGTTACGAGTCTAATTACCACTAACGAAGGCATTAATTAAAATTAATTGCCCATAGCTCGTTGACGTTGCAGAAAATTTGCAAAGTTTTTAATTCAAGCTATAAGTATGTTCACAAAGAGCATGTGTATTAATTTTCACTTGTTTTTATCATTCTTAAGTAAAGTTGTGGTGTTAAAACAGTTTATGTTATGTATTTTTTTATTCCTTCCGTATTAATTATGCAAATGACATATATATGACTGTATGTGTACTTTTAGATATTGTGATATCGTACTCTTGTTTTGTGTTCAACTTGGAGGTTATAAGAAGTATTTAACAGTGTTTCCTCATCATGTAAATTTGTCTAGTTTTAAGGGTCAGTGCTGTTCTCGAGATATCTGATTCCCTGATCTAAGAGTAAGAGGGATTGTGTTACAGTTATTGTCCTGTGGACATCTAATATGGGAACTTCAGATTCAGCAGCATCAACTGGTATATCTCTGTATTTAGTACATCAGCTACTAACATAGCAGATAAGACTAAATCAACCAGTAGATGTCCACATAAGGCTCTAAAGTAGGCAGTGGCGTAGCAAGAGGGGGGCAGTCGCCTCCGGGCGCAGGTGTGAAGAGGGCGCAAAATTTCCTCTGGCCTATAATGCCTATTAATTGATAATTATGTGTTCCCCTAGGATATAGCGCAACTGCCCTACGTTAAGTAAATACGACACTGTGTTACATTATTTGTGTGTATTACACTTGCAGTTTTAACTTCTAAAAGCTGCCCACTGAAATACAGTGAGACCGAAGAGACGTATAAAAGTAAATTACACTATTCCATCATTCATCTGTAGATCAAATACAAGTTCTAGAGTATAACGTACAAGTAAGTGTATGTTCAACAAAAAGAAAATACGAGATTGATGTAACATATTAACTGGTGTGCAAGATTGGCAATATATGTAACAGACAAAGCCTAGATCTAGATCTAGTAAACATTATAGGCCTAATGTAGTGGTTTGTAATTATATTGGCTGATTGTAAATCATGTCTTACACCAACTAATGTACTAGGCATTCGGTCTAATTGCA